TCATTCATATTCCAATCTAGAACAATATAGTTACTTATAATAAAATAAATAATGACTAGAGTTTTATAAATTACATATAAACATACAAATTGATTTTGCTAATCTTGTTCTCAATAGTATAATTCTTCACATCTTTCCTTAAATAAGCTCAAATCACTTTTCTTTAGTTTTTTTTTAAGTAATGAAATGAACATTAATAGAGTAAGGGATACTCGCCCATTTACATATGTTATTTTAAACTTAGAAAATCCAATAGATTTTTGCATCAAAAATAAAAGCTCACACACCCTTTGGATTTCATTCTAATTATCAATTATTATTTTCAATTTTCTTTAGTTGTTAAAGAGAGAAAATAACATAAATAGTCAATTATTATTAACACTTCTATATTTCAAACTCTATTCAATATCTTAGTTAAGTTCATTAATGACCAAAAACATTCATAAGTCAAACAAAATACTGTTTGGAACTTCTCAAGAAGCTTGATATGCAAAATTCAAGGAATATTTTAACCCTCATGGCGTCAAATGTGTTGATTGACAAATACGAGAATAGAGTAGAGATCGAGATTATTAAATATAGAGGTATAATAGGATCCTACTTTATTTAACGACAAGTAGGCTATATATTATATTTAGTGTGGGCCAGATATCATATGTCATATAGAAAATTCCACTTTAAGATTGTAAAAAGACATTACATTTTTTTTACCTATGTTTGGAATTTGCTGCCCCCTTCCCCTCGATTTATTTGATTCAATGCGCCAAATTATTCATTTGATTTGTTTAATTTGAAAAACTATATTTTAAACTGCATTTTCATAAATTTCTTGCACTTTGACGAATAAATCTAATTAATTTTCTTTAATAGCATCCTTTGGTTCACATGTCCAATTAATTTGGATAACATTTAAGTTATAAGTAATTATAAAGATTACTAATAATAAAATAAAATAGTGTTATAAAATTAGGGGAGAATTGAAATCTCTATCTAAATTTGTCAATAATTTTGTGACAAAAGAAGCATAGAAAATGTATTTTCTCTATCACTTATTTTGGTCATCAATATCTTTTTAAAAAAAAATATTTTAAATTATAATTTTCATCTGAGTCTCAAGAGTTGCACCATGGAAGGGATTTTGTTGCTCGATTAAGAATTATTTAACTCTTTAAGATAATGTTGATAATGTTAATTAAATAGTTAAAACTTTTTTTTTTGGTAAGATTCTAAACTAAAGAACCTACAAGTAACGGAAAACAAAGTTAAAGAATAAAATGCAAAATATAGACATGTTTGATTAGATGTGTTTGGGTAAAATTAAATAAACAATAACTATATATTCATAAGAAAAACTAATTCTATTAGCTAAAATATTGTGACCTACAAAGGTGTCATCGATTTTATTTCATTTGACTTTCTCATAGAAATTGTATTTTTTCTTGTTCCGAATGTACACAGTGCCTTAAGTTTAGTCTATTTTTCCATATCTCATGGAATTTATGTTTATGATAATTATAGGAGCATTATACATGGTGCCTTAGAGCATTCACATCCATACTACTCATATTAATATTATAAGTGGGTCTCATCTAATATAATATATTACTTTATACTTCTCAATTATTTAAACCACTTAATTATATTTTCTAAATATCCATACTACTTACTTAAAACTCTAACATGGGTCCCACAAAATTAATCCAACAGTAACATGTTATTTGAAAATTTAATCCAACAGCTATACATGCTACAAGCTAATATATTTATTAAAAGCTACGATCCCTTTTTTGGATACGGTGCCAATTAATACTACTATCATTTCTCTTCTATTATCAATACTACTCTGACTACAGTAGTACACATAGACATAAGCCACAGCAATATTTATGCTCTTAAGTATCATCTCTATGTAGTTCAACTATCTAGAATAATTATGTCTATATATAGATATAATCATTTTTTTAGATGTTAGAACTACATAGAGATGTAGATGTGACATGTGTTATACGTGTTATAATGTTGAATTGTGGTTATATGTGTTATAATGTTGAATTGTGCAATTTCGTTCCACGTGCTTTTGATTAATTCTTATATTTTGATGACCATCATGATCCTTAACTCACTTGAAAAATATTAATCCCTTATTTATTGAGACATTCTCTCATCTTTTTGTGATTTGTCAGATTGTGTCCTCTATTTGATATAAAAATTTTAGATGGTTGAGTTGATGTTCTATTTTGTTTAAGAATGTCTTGACCCTTTTCCAGTTTTTTCCCTTGAGTGGTGGGTATAAGACTAGAGGGGGTTGTTGATGATTTAGCATGCTATAGTTTAGTCCATTTAGAAAGTTAGAAATGAGATCATTTTTTTTAGTTATGAGGTGACGACAAAAGATGTGGAAGATATGAGTATTGTCTTGACTTAGAAATAGTTCCTCGGTAGCTTCAACCTCCCTTTGGATGTGTTCTTGTCGATTTTTTATGGTTTTTTATATGCAGGTGTCTTTGTTTGTAGAGTTATAGCTTTGTCTGAATTCTAGATTGATTACTTCTTTTCGATATGACTTTTCCTAACTTGGTGGATCGTTGGACTTTGTTATTTTGTTTTTGTTTTTGTTTTCACCACTCCTTATGTTGTTCTCTTTGTTAGTCTCTCTATACATTTGGCGTTAGTGTCTTTTCTTTTTATCTGTATATTATATTTTTCTTTTAAAAAAAAAACCTAACTTGTATTCTACTATTTCATCTTCAATATTTTTTTATTTAAACCATATAAAATTCAACCTTGTTGAAGAGTTCAACATGTCAAATTGTCAAGAAGCACAAGATAGTGACATTACATCTTACCAAAAAAAAATCTTACATCATGGGATATATTTTCACCTTTGTTTTATATATATGTAACTTTTTGTTTTAATTTATAATCAATGTGAGACTTAACTAATCATTTACATTTAACCCAATAATTTATGTTTCTAATACAAGTTTCTATATCTTATAACAAAATCCAATTTAAGAATCCACACTTTTGTTTATTTATTAAGTTGAACTATAATTTTGATATCACTTATCGAAGAGTTTGAAGGAATATTAAGAACAACAACGTACCAATTATTATAGAAGCACAAGAGAGACATATGATATGTGGATCTAAAATTTTAAGATATTTAATATATGAATCAAAATTTTTTTATATTTAAAACTTTGTCTATTTAGAATTAACATAAAACTTAATCACTCATACTTAAATCCAACCGATATAATCTTATTTGAATTATTGTTGTATTCGATTAACCATTTAGAATATTTTTAATGTAAAGAGCGAATAATTTACACTTTTAACCACTTTACATCTTGTAAACTAAATTTGAATATGCATTTAATACATTTGATTCACCACGAACATAATAAAGTTAAAACGAATGTCATTTCCCTTTTCCTTAATTAGTGATGCATGAAAAATGTTCAACAAATATTGATAATAGTATATTAGTAAGAAAGAGAGAAAAAGAAAAAGAAAGTTAAATGTGGACCAAAAACAAAACAAGACCCTTTACCTATCTATACTTACTTCTAACAATTTGAAAATCAAACCCTCTCCCTATTCTATAATAATATCACGTACCTTATCCTTATAGCCGAAGAAAACACATTTTACAAATACTTATTTATATTACCCATTTTTTGCATGGGATTTGAAGTACATATTATGAAAACAAACATAAAAATTAAAATAAGCCATGTTGAAGTTAGTAAACTATTTTTTTTTCCTTTAGATGAAAAAACAAGTCACTTTCTTTTTATCTTTACACATTACTACCAAAAATAAGTGACGAAATGAATATGCAAAGCTTACGTAATTAATTAATATAGTGATTATTTAGATTCTCTTTTGACTTACTTGAAGCTAAGCAAAAGCTTTTGAAGCCATCACTCTCTTTCTACCTATATCTAGCTCAATGCTGTATTGTGTTTGTATTTTTGCATGTATTAATATTGGGACACTACCTTTTAGGAATAGTGTGTTTGTGCTATAGGACAAGTTATGCACCTTCCTCTAACAAACCGACAAAGCACGTGAAACACAAAGATGAGTAACATGATAATTAGAAACATGACCTTATTGATCATCATGATCATCATCTTTCATGGTGAAATAAAGTAAAGTCCTTATAATTGTGGTTACAAAAAATATATTTAAATAAAGGATTATCAATGTCACTATTTAAAGTCCCTATAATTCAACTAACTATGTATTATCAAATAAATTATAAATAAAATTAGTAAAAATGATAGGTTGAAAAAATAATGGTAGACATCGTGATTAAGTAAAGACCCATGGTTGACAATGGCATCACATCTAATTACTTCAATTACTACCCTCCTTTTTATCTTTATATATATTCAACTTTTTTTCATATGATTATCTTATTTTTAATTTATTTATTTCTCTCATAAGTATTATCTCACTATCTTTGATTTAGTAATAATTTATATTGAATTTTTAATTTGAATTGAGATCATTAAGTATATGTTGATCATTAAATTAATATTAAAAATGACCATTATAGTCTCTATTTATTTTTTATTTCATTTAAAAGTAAAATGATTTTTTTAAATATTTGTAGTGCCATCCTTGTATTTTAAATTTCCTTTACAGAAAAAATGAACCAAAATACGCAAAGTCACAAATTACTGAAAACTTATATTGGTAATACTAATTATTTAATAATGGAAGACATACAAACACTAAAAATTATCGACAAATTAAAAATAGAAAGTGATTCAAGTAAAGTGTATACACTAAAAACATCATCCGATTTAAGATATACTTTGTTATAATATAATCCCTTATTGACTTGAGATTAAAGAACTAAACATGATATATATATGATATCAAATACTAATTATTTATCTATTTCACAATCGAACAAGGGAGGTGAAAGAAGAGATGAAAAAAATTGAAAAAAAAAAAGAGAAATTATTTTTTAGTTTATTATGTCATGCTGACGTATTTGAGACATGGCAGAGTGGTTCAGAAGATGACAATAATGAAGAAGTTGATCGGGCGAAGTTCCAAAGATCAATCTCACTCGCATATTCATGCGAGGGACTAATGTAAGTAGTAGTAGAAGTAGTTGCTCTAACGTGTGTTGATAGAGATGAAGTTGATGAAGAAGATCTAAGGGTTGGAAGTTGAAGATCATGATCATTAGTGCAATATCCCATTGTGGGGTCATTGAAGCAAGCCAATTGCCTAGAAGTTTCAGTTTGTCCATTCAATTGAGAAGCAACAAGCCTATCCAAAGCTACCCAATTAGCAAGACCACCATCACCACATGATGCTATAACCATTGATGATGATGATGCTTCTAATGGATTATTAACCATGTTGTTATGGTGTTGATGATGATGATCATTAGCCACATCCACTTGAATAATTGCATGGTACCCTTCATTGTTGTTCTCATTGTTCTCCATGCTTGTTGATTTTGGACTCTCTAAACTTGGAAGTTTCATGAACCTTTCATTATTATTATAACCACCATTGTTGTTGAGGCTAGTTTCATAAGGCCTTGTAAACCTTCCATAATTATTGTTATTGTAATTTGCTTCATAATTCTCTTCCTTGCAACCACCTCTTCCCATTTGTTGAAGTATTTGCTCCAAAGCTCCTTCATCACAATTATCAAACAAATGATGGTTTCTTCTTCCCTCTCCAGAGCCTAATGGGCTGTCTAGGGTTTTCAGATGATTCTTCTTCTTGAATATCCTACACACCACCCATCCTTCTTCTTGACCACCATCACCAATCACATTCGACACCTAAATTACATCGTAACAAACAAAAATATTCATATTTTAACTATCATTTAAAAAGAAAATTAAATTATTTATCCAAACACGACTAATTTTATCAAACACTTACCAAATTAGCGTCGCTGGTGGTGGTATTATCGTCTAGTCTATATTCGTGCATGATCCAATCGGATTTTTGGCCATGAGGGGCGCGACCCTTGTAAAAAACAAGAGTCTTTCTCATTCCAATCCTTTTTCCATTGCTATATATAACTTTGTCACGCCCGGTGGCTTTCCAGAACCCAGCAGCCGTGGCGCGATTGGTTCGCGTCCCGGTTGGATACTTCTTATCTTTGTGACTGAAGAAGTACCAATCATTTTGTGGAGTTGTTCCTATTTTGCATTTCTCTATAAAAATAAATAAACAAACCTCAAAATAAAAAACATACAATGTTGAAATAAATGTATATATATGTTCATTAATTATCTTCCACATAAAGATACAAATCAAAACAAGAAAGAAAGACATAAATAAACATACCAAAAATGAAAGTGAAAATGAATGAATAAATATAGTTATATAGCTACTTATATAACCTTGTATGTCCCATGGTTCAAGCTTGTTGAGATCAACATCACGAATAACATCAAGATCAATCTTCTCATAAGACACTTTTTTCCTCAAATAGTATTGAAGAAGTTCTTCTTCAGTTGGATGAAACCTGAATCCAGGAGGGACTTGAGATTGTCCATTAACAGATATGCTCATGTTATCAGGCATTAAGATAAACTAACAAGCTAAGAGAGAGTGGTATATAGCAAGAAGAAGAAGAAAAAAGCTATAAGGGACCCAAAAAGATGAGAGAATGCATTCAAAACAGGTAGGAGAGAAAGGAAAGATAATGAGGGAGAGTGTGTACTGGAATGAGTATGTAAAGGGAGACTATATATATGTGTTGTGGGACAGAAAGGACCAAATCATACAATAGAGAAAATAAAATAGTATTTTTTAAAAATCTGGTGAGAGTACCACAATAATGATATGGGAATAGAAAAGTGGTTATGAGTGGAAGGGAATCACAAACTAGTATTGTTGTATGTCAAGTTTTGAATAAAATTCTCACAATGAAATAATGAAATAGTAGATGTTAAGTAATATATAATTGAAAAACATTTACATTTCTACGGTTTAAGATTTTTAGTTAAGCGTAGAATTCTATTTGAGTAATTGTTGGGTCATTAATAAGAGAGCTGAGAGGATGAGAGTAGATCAGTACATAGAAAATTTGATACTATAGGCTTATCTAAAACTCGATATTAAGTATATGAGTCATATTATTTATTATATGTTGTTTAATATTTTATTTTTTTCATCTAAAAAAGGAATTCTAACTTATACTTGATACAACAAAAGATTATTCAACCGAAATATTAGAGTAACAAATTCAACCGGTTTTTTATATCAAATATATTCCTCACATTAATGATCATTTGGTGTGTCTTACATATATTGAGTGTCTATAATGATACAAATATATGTGGATGAATTTTTTTTTAAGGAGAGCAACCTCAAATGAATTGGTGGACTTACTTAAAAATAAAATTATTGGTATATTAATGTGAATAAAAGTTTTGTAATAAATTATATTTATAATATAAGTGAGGGAGTTAATATATATATATATATATATATATATATATATATATATATATATATATATATATATATATATATATATATATATATATATATATATATATATATAGTCAACACACAAATCATATTAGATATGAATTCAACCCTATCTCTTATCTGAGTTAATTGAGTTTCTTTAAGATGGTGATTTTTTCTTGGCAGCTTCTGCACGACAGAATCTCCTCTAGGGAGAACTTGTCCAAACAAGGGTGGCGGTTGATCCTAGTCGGATCTCATTCCCCTTGCGTAGGACTTTGGTTGAGTCGATTTCTTATTTTTTTATCACTTGTGTTTTAGTTTTGTATGTGTGATATAGGATATTTAAGTGGTTGACTTGCAAGGTAGTGCTCCCTATATAACACATATTTCTTTTTTGTTTTTCCTCTTTAGGAGGTAGAATTAACTAGAGGGATGATTTTCTTATGATTTGACATGCAATAGTTTGTTATTTGGACAGCTTGTAATGATGTCATTTTTAGTTGTCTTGTAAAAATTGTGAAAGATGTGGAGGATAAGAGTATTTTTTGATTTGAAAATCATTTCAAGATAAATCAGGGGGTGAACTCTTGTATTTTCTCTGTCTGACTTCAAAACCCACAATCTACCTACTCTAATAGTTGATTGAGTTTCTGTCTTAATTTTGAGGTGGATAGTTGTTGATGGCTTTGGTGCTCTCTTTGTGGATTTTGATCTATTGATAGTGGAGTTGACAGCATTAGGTCTAGCCTAATTCTATTGATTTTGGTTTTAGCAACATTGGTCTTTTATTAGTAGGGTCTCGTAGTAAGTTGTGATGGTTATGTTTTTTAGGTTATTTTTTTTCTTACTATTTATTTTCTCTGTGTACCCTGGGTAGTCCTTTACGCATTTCTTGTACTTTGTGACTATTTATATTTATACTTTAGTGATTTTTCATATTTTCATAATATATTAGTTTGATATTAAAAACAATCAATAATATAAATATATGATCATTTGAAATTTGAACTTTATCAAATTTCGCTATCCTAATGGCATATTGTAATTTATGAATAGCATAAAATATACGCATACAACAACACCTAAATTTTGTTTATTTTACTATAGTAGCAGTTTTTAAAATTTGAATTGAATTTAATATGAGTTAAATTGAATCACTAATATGAGAGGGTGGGAGTGACCACGCACGTTTCCTCAAAACCTTTTTCATCGGACCTCTTCTTTTACCTCCCTATCATCCAAGACATGTGAGTCCTTTCCCCCTTTTTCTCCCTTTTCTATAGGGATCTTGAGGATTCTTAATATTACTCCCTCCCAATTGTTTCCTAATAGTTGGGGCTATAGTAGCGCCTTCGAGAAGGTGTGTGAGGAGCTAGATATTACTTCGATCGTTGAGATCTTTTTTCCTTCCTTACCACTAACCCCTCAAAGGGCAGCTGGGTATTCCTAGGTAGTCGGCCAACGAGAATCCTGCTTACTTCTCATTCCAACCATTATAAGTATTGGAAGGAGAAATTTGTCCATGTGAATGGGTGAGACAATTTTATCGGGATTTTAAGAACTTATGGTCCCCCCCTCTTTCCTTTGTCATAGAAAGATGAACCATTGGTAATCACGTGATATGACCCGACATTCCTTTCTCTCAGGGAGAAGAGGATTGTTTGCTTCTTATTGTAGTTCGATATTATGGACTATCTAAAGGTGCTAAGAAACACAATAAAGGGGGGGTTTGAATTAGGTTTCTAGATTGGAACTTTTTTCTCATCCAAAAACACTTGCAACAAAGATGTAACAATAATAAAACACACAAGGATTTTATCATGGTTCACTGCTAATAAAGCTACCTCTAGTCCACCCTTCAAGGTGATTTCGAATTCTCAATAAGGACTTAATCCACTAATTAAAACTTTGATTTAAACCCCAATGACAACCTGTTAAAGACTTCTTGAGAATCCTGATTATACCCTAGTCTCTTAAGGAATTTAACAACTGTTAAATCCAAGATTTGTGTTTAGAAAGTTTCTTCTAAAATAATAATATACACACAATGAAAAATAGATTTTACACTTAAGAAAAAATATGAATTATATTTCTAAGTGTTTCTCTTTCTTTTCATATGAAAAGGTTTCTTATTTTCCTTCTCAATCTTCTTAATTTCACTTATTCAACCCCACATTTCCAAGCTTCGAAGTCCTCTTTATATAGGCAATGAAATAGATCTATTGGAGTGAGATGTTGGAAAATCCTCAAAAATATATCCGTTGGAGATGCTTGATAGTACCATAGAGAAGTTTCATGCAACATGTAGTGGGTGAGAGGATGAAATGAGGGAATACGCGTTGGTTAAATAGTATTGTCCTTTTCGTCAGATTTTCAGAGTAATGGATGTAATATTTGATTTTGTACTAGTTGTACCCTTGGCCATATATTCTTCTTCTTGTCATTATATTCTAGTCAGAGGCTTCGGATATATGTTGTTTGAAGCTTGAGTAGAGTCTGAGTATGACTTCAGAACTTGGTGAAGATGAGACTACAGAGTCTTAAGACTTCAAAGGATTTGGACATCAGAGTCTTTCTCAGAGTCATTTTTAATAGATTCTAGCAGAGATAGAAACTTGGTAAACCAGATGCTTGACTTCTATTTAAACACTCCTTTGATTCTTTGTTTTGTTTAGAGTATGTCTTCAGTTTAGAGTCTACTTGCTTTAGATTCTGCAATTCTTCTGATTTTGCATAGATCATACTTCAAATGCGTTTTATTCAGAATCTGGTTCGTCCATACTTGACTTTTCCAGAGTAGAAATTTGTTTTCTTTTGATATGCACACTTAACAACATAATTAGAGTACAAAATTATTCTCTATACATATTAAGCTTTTCTATCATTAAAACTCAAGGATATTTTCATAAACAAACTTGTTCCAATAATCTTCCCCTTTTTTATGATGAAATATCGTTGTATTTTGATGAATAATTTTTAGTTTGATACACAAAACATAAAACATCAAAGTGAGGTTTGTAATCTCCCCTTGAGTTTTATACTCTCAAAATTATTCTCAGTTTCTTCACATTGAGGTTTGTAATCTCCCCTTGAGTTTTATACTCTTAAAATTATGCTCAGTTTCTTCACAGTGAGGGTTGTAAGCTCCCCCTAAGAATAAGACTAGAATAATTTTGAAAAACTTGAAACATAATCAACATGATTATATGATAATAATCTTTCACATGGTTATCACAAACTATTATAGCTTGGTTATTATCAAAATAACATCGAATTTCCTAGTTGATAAGTCTCCAAAGAATTAAATAAAGAATAAAGCATGTTTGGGATTTATTATGGGAATAAAGATATATCAAAATCTTATTCACTTCTCCCCCATTGTCATCAATAAAAAAAGAATAATATAAAACAAAATTAAATAATTAATAGACTGAAAGACAAGGTGACAAAATATTCATAACATAAACCAAGACGAGATTGATAAAGAAAAGACAAATAAAGATTTCATTGATTTTAAAAAATAAAAACAGTAGTACAAGAGATAATGAAAAATGAAACAAAAAATCCTAAAGACAAAAAGGAAGAAAACTTACTCTTCCTTAGCCTCCCTATGCTCTGAGGAACTACAAGTTTTGTGCCACATAAAGTTTCAAGAGCTTCAGTTAGATCCTTCTTCTGAACCTTTTTAACTATTACTTTTTTAAGAAACATTTCAAAGAGAACTCTTCCAAAAGGTATAAAGTAAAACTTTCCCTCCCATGAGGTCATGATTTTAGACCCCAGATAGCTAAAAATGGTAAAAGGAAGATTAAATATCACCTTTTACAAAAATAGGTACATAAAGTGTTTGTCATTCAAAGCTAAAAAGTCAGAGCCTTATTCCTTTGGTAGAAAGTTTGTGATAACCAGTTGGTGTCATAGCTTGGCCAAATATTTGAGACTGGTTGCACTTGTAGAATTCCCTTAATCTTCAAATAGGTTAAGGATGAGAGAGTCAAAGTGATTGTTAAATATTAGCACCATCTTTTTCACACCTAATAGCTTGAGCAATATTTGAGGAAGTGATGATAATAGGAGTACCATGAAAACCGATCTTATCTCATTCT